CCAGTAGGTGTTGTGTGCTGCATGTGTGTAGAGAATATGCCTGGATTTTTCAGATCACTACAAAACACAGAACATTGCATTTTACTACCATAACTCTTACATGAAGATGTGCCTTGTGCTTCTTGTTGAAAATATTGACAAGCCGAAAAAGGGTAAAAAAACAAGGAAACATACTATTACGCAGGATTCTCTCTAGTATTTTAGGGTACAGCCTAGCCTACTAATATTTGTTGATTTGTTAATCGTTGACAAAATGGGAGATGATATGCTGCTGCTTTTAAGCCTTCTTTTTAACTTCACGGATAGTATATTAAACAGTTTTTCATACCACTGAATATCTGCTTCCTCATGTCCCTAGTAGAGTTTAGTTTTCTATGGTGATCAGTGTTCCATTTTATGGATGTTATAAAGTCAATGCCGTTGAGTTGATGCTGACTCATAGTGATGCTATAGGACAGGATAGAACTGCCTCTGTGGGTCTCTGAGACTGGAACTCTTTACAGGAGAGGATGGTGGTTTTGAACTGCTGACCTTGAGGTTAGCAGCTCAATGCATAATGACTGTACCAACGGGGCTTGCATGGATGTTAGAGACATAGATGAAAAATAAATAAATCACAGCATGTGTGAATATTCTCTTGTGTCTCCAAATAAAACCGTGCCCCGTTACTCTCTTTGCTGCGCTCCTGTACGGTTTTCAGAACTATATTGTCTCATCCAAGTTTTCTCAACCTCTGACCTTCCTCCTTAGGTTTTACGCAGAGCAGTTAGAAAGGGAACAAGGAAAGACCTTGCCTTGTTGATTCAAGAATATTGTGTGTGCATATTACATACCTCTACATAGATACAAACACATGTAAGGGTAGGTCGAAAAATATTGCTACAAACTCCGTAGGGACCTTTCTTAAACAAAATGTCAAAACATGAAGCCGTTGGTTCTTGACATTTCCCCCGTCTGGGTCTGTACTCCTGAAGGTGGTGCTCCTCGCTCTTTGACACCCAAGAATTCTGTGCTCTTCCACTCACCCCCCATCAGGATGGCAGTCTGGGCCTCGTCGGGCACCCAGCTCACATTCTTCTCGGCTGTTCTTTGACTCTGAGGGACAGCAAGAAGTCGGGGAGGGTGAGATCCGTGTTGTAGGGTGGATGGGCTATGCCTCCTAGCACCGTTTTCGTAGGCCAGCCCTTGCTGGTTTGGAAAAAACTGCGCACATTTCCTGGCATTTTTCTCACCAGTTTTCTTTAAAGGTTTTCACGATTAGCCTCTGTGTTCATCCTGTGTCCTTAGAGCAAATCTAATAAGATTACCTTTTGGGGGAAAAAGCAGTCGCTATGATCTTCTGAGGTGGCCTCTCTGCCTTGAATTTAACTGGCCAAACAGATCTGGAAGCCACTATTTGCTTGTACTTTATTATGATAATTATTTAGAAATCACCTTCGTAAAAGGAAGATGACCGGACTGCAGTGCCGAGAGAACTTAACCTGCAGCCATCCAGTGATTGCAGAGCCTTGCTTAAACGGGTTTTGTTGGGAACAGACCTGTGTGTATACTGGGAGCCCCAGTGGTGTAGAGGTTACCAGTTGGGCTGCAATCAGAAAGGTCATCAGTTTGAAACCACCAGAAGCCCTTCTCTGAAGAAAGAAGGGGCTTCCTACTCCACAAAGAGTTCGTCTTGGACCCTGACAGGGGCAGTTCTACTCTGTCCTAGAGGGTCGCTAAGAGTTGACATCAATTCGATGGCAGGGACTTTTGGTTCGGTGACATTATTTTTACATTTTCCAGGGAAGTTTAGATATTTTAATTGGTGCAAGAGTGCTTAGTACATCTTTCAGTTTATATCTACGATGTGTCCATATCAATAGCAAGGCTTACTGTGGTACATAGTGACATTTGCATACATTTCAAAGTACATTAAGATGTCAAGGCCAAGAAGAAAAACCCGCAAACCGGAGTCTATTCTAACTCGTAGTTTTGGAGGAAACAGAATGGCTCCCTGGTGTTTCTAAGGCCGTAAATCTTTATTAGAGCAGATAACCTCCTCGTTCTGCAGAGTAGCTGGCGCCTTCAAACTGCTGACCTTACACGCAGCCCCACACGCAGCACACTATGCCATCAGGGCTCCCCTGTGAACTTCCAGCCTAGGATGCCCGGGGGAGTAGTTCTACTCTGTCCTATTGGACTGCCGTGATTAGCAATCGACTCAATGGTACACAACAGCAATCCATTCAGGAGTAGTAGATTGCCGAGATTTTTGTTGTTGTTATTTTTTTCTTCTACAGAGGCGTTCGTGAGCTAGAACCGATGACCTTTTGATTAGCACCCAAGGATTTACCCTGTGTGCCTAAATTATTATGCAGAAATAAATGCAAGAGAGATAAAGTAAATGGTGCGAATTATGAACAGCTGGTGGAGCTGGGCGAGGGATTTTAGGAGTTCTTCAGCGTATCTCGCAATGTCTCTGTTGGTTTGAAACTCTTTCAAAATAAAGGTTAGAAAATTTCACGGTTCACTATTTCATTTGAGTTAGGCAAGACCCACGGGATGCGGAGCAGGCTGCCATGGACGGTGTCCATGGACTTGCCACTGCTTCTCCTGTTGCAGAGGGCTTGTGCAGGGCTGGGAGCCTGGGGGTGGTGGGGGCGAGGTAGGGCCACGCGGCACTGCCTCCCGTGTATATTGGTTAGAGGAGGGGCCATCTTATTGAAAACCATGGTTCAATACCCCGTCATGGAGACTGCACTGAGATACTGTAGTTCGTACTGTCAATGGATGCTTCTTGGGGGAGAAGAGAAACCAAGGGGTCTCAGTGGACCTGAGGAGGTGTGTTGTTTGTTTTTTTCCCCTTCTTAGCCCTCTTGGATTCTAGTGGAAGCTGCCCAGATGAAACAACTCTGAGTACTTTGAAATTCTCGAGAAAACAAAATTTTAATCGGCTTTCCATCTGACTCATTGTTCAGAGATGAAAAGAGAGGAAATCAACATCCCCTGAAAATATAGATTCTACGAACTCGTCAGGTTCTGATTTTTACCCAGAACAAGACTTCTTAAAGAGTATTTATTTTCATGTTTCCTTCTCCTCCTCATCTTCTTCCTCCCTCTCCCCTTCTTTCCCATCTCATGACCCACAGCCATCTACTCCATTCCGAATCAGGGCGAGCCTGGAAGACGGGGTAGAACAACAACTCTCTTAGGGGTTCTGAGACTGTAAATCTTTACCAGAAGAGGCAGCCTCATCTTCCTTTTACAGGGTAGCTGCTGGGTTTGAACCACCAACCTTACACTTAGCAAGCTGAATGCCTAGATCCATAGTGCCACCCACCTGGGTAGCATAATCCTCACTCACTGCTACTGAGGCAATGCTGACTCATAGCATCCCCCTGTGGGTTTCCCAGGCAATAAGTGTGTCTGGGAGTAGAAAGCCCAGGTTTTCTGCCTCGGGGTTGCTGGTGGTTTTGAACTGCTGACCATGCTCAACACGTAAGCACAGGGGCAAATTAGGGGGACAATAAAGACTATAGAGATAGAAAGAAAAGACTATGGAATGCTTTAGAACTCTGAAGTAGGTAGACCTGAAGATGAAGTTACATTAACTTTTTGGTCATCCATCTCTGAAACCAAGAATTGCTTTAGGGATGCTTTAGGATTGAGTCTGTCGTGTTCCTTGGTTCCCCTGTTCAGACCACACCCCAAATGTTTCTTCCAGAAAACAAGTAACTTCCTGAAAATGAGTAATTAAAGATCTGTAGGAAATACTCCAGGGAATATTAGTTGCACTTCCTTTGCGTAGAAAACAGATGCATGGCCCTGAACTTACAGCTTGAATGTTATGACTGTCAGGGGTAGGGGGGTGGGAGAAGCTTCAGGTGGCACCTCCATGTAGCCAGGTGTTCTATGGAGGTCTATTGCCTGCAACATTGGTGTCTGTCAGAGAGCGAGGTCAGCTCACTGACGTTATTCGTAGTGCTCATAGTCATGTTAGTGATTGGGATTTTGAATAAGTAATTTCAGAACAAAGCGATATGGACAAGCTTATTTTTTCCTCTCAATTTTCCATGGTGGCTTTGTGAAACCACTGAAAACCGTGAAGCCCATGCTTGGAAGGAGAAAATGAAAGTGGAAGGTTGGCTTGGGATGGCGAACAGACAAAGGTGGTTGGGGCTTGGGCAGCAATGGCCGTTACTGAGTGCCATCCATTTGTGTGCCCTAAGCCCCACTGCAAGCGTGCTTGCTGGGGACTGTGCCCTGGGTGTGGGTCAGCTCTGTGGAGATGGCTGCTGAGAAGGCCTGGCCCCCCGATGGGCTTGTGGGACGCCTTCATTGCCCTGTCTCCAGGCGCTGGGAGTCCATGCAAAACGGAGCAGGGTCCGGCCACATCCCCACATCTGCATCCTGCTCGGGGAGGCATGTCGCAGCACGCGCACACCCGGGCACACCTGCTGTGACACTCAGTCACAGGCAATGGATGTTTAATTAAAAAAAAAAAAATCTCCTGGCTGCATATCATCAAGAAAAACAACATTGTTTTCAGGGTCTCTTATCTCTCCACTCCCAAATATCCTGTTTCTTCAGGGTGGGCAGCCAGGACCAATAGAAACCTCTTCCTGCCATTGGTTGACTTCATTTCCCAGACTTAGCACAATCTCATCCGCTCTAAACAACCTCATCAAAACTACTTTCTGGTCAGAGCGAAGCAATAATTATTATTAACATTTATAATCGATCAATAAACTTGGTTGCGTTATGGCCAGCACGATTAAGGTAAGGAGAGGGTCTCTCTTAACTCGACCAAATCTCGCGCTTGTTGCTCTTTTCTTTGGTTTCCTTTATCAACTTAGATAAGTTAGGGTTGGGCAACACCCCCACCGCCACAATAGAGGACAACAAGATTTCCTTTACACTGCCTAGTAAATTTCCTTTTTCCTACTCCAACCATTTGCAAGGCTTAAAAACTTCAAACTCAGAAAAAAATTGGGGTTTCTAAATTCACGGTTGTGGGCTGTGGACTGCTTTTGCAAAGGCTTTCTGGAGCCCTTCTGAATTGCCCTGTTCTCTAACTCTCCCTAATGCCGCCTGGCTGTGTACCGGAGAGGAGGCTGTGGACTTGGAGAGAGAGGATGGAGGGCAGGGTGACAGAAAGAGATGGGCTGGTAACTGTCGGGACTTTTTGGATGCTTCTCGACTGACTCCCTGCCTCAGGGATGCCAGTCTCCGCAGAAACGAAGAGGTACCCGGCGCACTGCTGTTTGGAAGGGGGCATGTCAATGTTGGCTTGGCTTTCGGAGACCTCCCTGCCGGGAGCTGAGAGTTGCTAAAACTCAAACGGTGGTGATTCGGTTTCTTCGCTTATGTACTCATCTCTAATAAAAGTTCTACGTCCTCCGCGCACGATGAGTAAGCTTTCTTCCTAGGGATGGTGGTGGGCCAGGGAGAACAACAGCTTGCTGCTACCCCTGCGCTGGGATGCTGACTCTTGTGTCTCATGGCGAATGTTTTCAGTGGACCGTAAGTCTGTCGGTGGACGTGGAGGTGAATGTGCACAGCTAAAACCGACATGGGCGCTCATTCTTGGAAATGAAGCCCATTTTATAACAAGTGCGTGTTAGGAGTGTCAGAGCTTGTCTGGGTGATGGCTTGGTAACATGTTTACAAAGCCACCGTGTCTCGGGATGGTTGTAGAAATGAGAAAAACCGGCAGCCCAAACAGAGAGTAACGGGAAGAAGTCAAAAGATGCTTTTGGTTTTGCTGCATAAAGATTGAGAAGCTGTTTGGTTGTGTGTGTGTGCGCGCACACGCATGTGCGTTTTAAATCAAGGGGGTTAGTCCTTTGAAAGCTCACGAAAATGAAATCCTGCCCAGAATTGGGCCCAAGCGTTTCTCAAAAATCCTTTCTTGGTTTGGTATGTTTGTCATTTAGAGTGTTTGTGTTGGAGGGTTTGATAAAAACTCACCACCTAAACCAGGTCGGACAAGTGCTGTTGGGTTTTTGTGTGTTGAAATGCATGCCATGTTCAACCATATGCTAACAGTTTATTTTCCGAGACTTCCACTTTATAGACATTAATTTCTGGGTTTCGGGGAGTGGCGTTTGTAGAAATGTAACCATCGTAGGAAGGAACATAAACATTGGGAGTTTGATGTTCACTGGCAGCTTCCATGAGCAGATGTTATTTAATTTATAACCCAGAGTGCTCTCCTTTTATTCTCATATTTGCCCTTAATTATGCCCATATTTCAAAGCATTTAAATACTATTTGTGAGTCTTGTCTAGCTTGAGTACACTCCCCACCCCCTCATGCATTAGGGAGGTATGGAAATAATAGCACCTTCTCTAGAAGGTAGGATCAATTTTACAAAACATATCAATATGTTGTGCAGATATATTGCTCAGTTTAAAATACGTATTTATGATGCTATGAAGGAATTTCTTAAGTTTAAATGTGTTGTGACTTTCTAGATGAATTCTGAGAAGTAGTTTCACTTGTCAGGCTTGTTTGGAATGCATTCTTTTATTACATGACCGTATATGTCTATTGTGTACATGTCAAGCGAACCTTGAACATGACTTCACGTAAAATTTTCTAAATCCCGTTTTATAGGTAACTTCCTTTAAGCCCTGTTTCTGTGAGGTTTCCTGGGAAAGGTCATGAGATGATTTTATAGCCTTGTTTATGGAGTGGAAAAAGGCGGCCGTAAGTCTGTTGACTCCAGTTTTAATTATGTTAGTGCACAGCTCAAATTAGCAGGGGGAAAATTACGGCTGTCCATTGGCATTGGGAACCAGTCTCTCATGCAAGCACTTTCCAGGTCTCAATGTACTGTTTTGTGTGATGCCAGTAAGCAAACCAAGTCGTTGATTCAGGATCCGACACGCTGCTGATTTGTTGAGCCTGCTGCTCCCTGTCTTGTGTGTTGTTTCGCTGCTTTTGCCTCGATGTTTATGAGGCCCTTGTGAGCCCTGTGGAAAGTTCCCTGTTTTCATCGCTTTCCCGTTGGCCATTTGAAATTTGACACAAAATGATCCCATTGGGAAGAAGACAGGGAAGGGTAGAAGCTCACGTAAAAAGAGTGCTCATGTGTCGCGAAGCGTCTGTGAATGCCAGATGAGATTAATTAAGAATGCAAATGAAAAGGCAACAGTACTGAGGGTGATGTCCCCCGTGGCAGCAGCTCACAGGTCAGACCTGGTGGTTACACCTGTTTGGGTGCCATCTGTCAATGCTAAGGGACATGCAACCACCACCCCACCCCCACCCCCCACCCCCCGAATCACACCAGGCTTGCCCCTGTTTGTTTACCAACTTGAAGGAAATGGTCGTTATTGTTGTAACTGGATTGCCGGGGAGTTTTCTTGTGATCCCGGCAAACACGTCTTCGCCCTTTTTTCTGCCGCGGGCCACTTGCAGAGGCTAAGGAACGCTATCATCCATCTCTTCTCAGGATGATGCTTGGCGCGGCGAGAAATGAAACCCACAGAATTGTAAGCAATTCTCTTGAAATACACTTCTAGCCCAGGTTCCTTCTGGGGAGAAGGTGATCTGTGACCCGGGGTTCCAACCCCTGAGCCTAGGGCAGCGGTTCTCAACCTGTGGGTTGAGACCCCTTTGGGGGTTGAACGACCCTTTCATAGGGGTCGCCCGATTTATAACAGTAGCAAAATGACAGTGATGAAGTAGCAACAAAAAGAATTTTATGGTTGGGGGTCACCACTACATGAGGAACTCTGAAAGGGTCGAGGCTTTAGGAAGGTTGACAACCACTGTCCTAGGGGCATTTAAAGAGGGCCTCTCTTGAAAATGGAACATGGGGGTTTCCTCGACAGAGACTTGATTTTAGAGGCTTAGGCGGTTAAGGCAGAAAGCATCTGAGGACGCATTAGAGATTTTGAAATCTGCTTGGAGGGCTCTAGGGCAGATTTGAGGTCAAACTAGTACTGCTGTAGGCCTCCTTAAAAAAGCACTTTCCTTAAGTTACTAGAGATTGGGGACTTTGATGGTACTTGAACCATGAAGGAAATCTACCTTCTTAATTTAAAAACATGTACATTTCTTTTTTATAGTTAATGCCTTGCACATTGAGACAACAGGTACTTGCTTTCTTATGAGAAGGATGTGCAGTGGAATTGTACAAAGGGTTCCACGCAGAAAGTTCATGCCCTCATCAGATGCTGATGGGTGTAGTGAACAAATTTAATAGTTACAGTGTAAGATTGTTTTTAATCAGCCCACTATTCTAAGTGGACTTTTCCCTCTTGAGAGATGCTGAGACCGTGGACAGGAGGCTATAGAATGAAAAATACTGCTGTGTACCGTATCCCCCCCCTCCCCACCGTGTTCCTGTCACATCCCGGGAGGAGACCCCAGCCCCTGTTGTTAGTTAGAAGGGGAAGTGCAGGCCATTATCTCACAGGGAGCCACTGATGACATCTAGGGCATCTCCCTGACATAGCTGCCCTTTGCCCACAGACTGTGCTCTGTGCTCCCTCTGCGTGTGTGAGCGTGTGCGTTAGTTACGCACATGTGTGCACACCTGTGTCCTCAGGACACTCCAGCTTGATGACTGTGGCAAGCAAAATCCAAAGATGGACTGTGTGGACACCACCCCTGCTCCCAGCATGTTTCTGCAGCAATGCCCTGACCTCAGGATGTTCTGAAACGCGGAACCAGTTCTTAAATACCTGTATTTCCTTCAGTGGGAATGTTTACCGTTATTTAAACAGACAAACAGAAATACACTTGTAAACGTCTCTTGAATAAAGCCATCTCTGTAGGTGCATAAGATCTTTGGGGTGGGTGTCTTTACAAAAATGAGGGCTTTGATAATAGAAACACTGTGAAGGGAGACAGCGGACGAGGCAAGATACGAAAACAATAAAATTTATAATTTATCAAGGGTTCACGAGGGCTAAGGGAGAGAAAAAAGAGGAGTCGATACCAAGGGTCTTACTAGAAAGAAAATGTTTTGAAAATGAGGATAGCAACATATGTACTAATGCGCTTGACACAATTGATATATGGGTTGTTAAGCGAGCTGTAAGAGCCCCCGATAAAACAATTTATTAAGAAAGAGAGAGAGAGACAGAGAGGAGGGTTTTAAGAATCCGTGGGAAAATGTCCTTCCCTTTTCATTCCATTTTCCCATTTCAAAGACCCCTTCCACGTCAAGAACTTTGGAATGGGTATCCCTCGGTGGGCAGGGAGACAGTAAGCAGAGACTCCACCTCAGTGCCCCATGCAGGGACAGAGGAAATGAAATTAGTTCATGGCGGATGGGTAGTCATCCCAGGGAATGCGAGACCCAGACAGCAGTGGGTTTCTGAGTGTAAAGAGCTTCAGGGAAGAGACTGGGCAGAGGCCATCCCCGGGCCTTTCCGGTGGTTGGGGGGGCTCGCTCTAGTGAGGTCCCGCAGGGCCAGCCTGCAGCTCAAAGGCCGCCATGGAGCCGTGCCCTCCCATTGTTCTGACTGGTGAGCTGCTCCCTGGGATTCTGGCAGCTGACCTCTGCGATTTCCTCTGTCGCATGTGAACCCAGAGAGCCCTGTGTTTGAATCTTTCATGACACTGTAACCCTGAGCCAGGACCTCAGTTTCCTCACCTGTACAGTGGGTCGCCATGGCTGCCCTACCTCTGGCTGATGTGAGTTCGCATCTGCACAGAGCCTCACCCGGGCCTGCCTTGGGTAGCGGCTCATGAAGCAGCAAGGTCAGCAGACAATGCGAGTCCACTTCACCTTTCTCCGTAGATTGCTTTGTCTTTCTGGCCCCACCACTCCTTCTCTCCATGATTTCTAAGACTTGGTTTCTGTGGTGAAATCCCGGGCCACTGATGTTTCTGAATCGAAGGGCATTTGTATGTGCTGCTTGCCCTGACCTCCCACACTCAGGCCAAGGCAGGTTGTGGGGAGGGAAACTGGGGGAGAGTGGGTGTCCTCTCTACGGACAGGTGGGGCTTTGAGGGCAGTGGCGCTGGTCAGGAGGGTTGGCTTGGTCCTGTTTGGAGGGTGGAGGCCTGTGATTGCATCTTGATTAGAGAAAATTCCGAGCTGCTGGACCACCTCCCACTATCCTAACCCCTCAGGCACTTGGAGAAACGGACCTTGTTGTTTTGCAAAAAATTGTAAAAAAAAACAAAAAAAACCTGTTGGTTTTAGAGAAGATGAAAAAAAAAAAATCATTACAAACCCACAAATAAATTGTTCCGAATCTCAAACCCACCCACCCACCAAGCAGCCTCACTACCATCGAGTCGATTCCGACTCAGGAAATGACCGAGTCCGTCTGGGTGCCTCCTGCTTTGTTGTGTGAGCACTGCCCCTGGGCTCTGCCAAGAGTGTATAAGGCTACTGCTCCGGCTTCTTTACAATTCACATCAAGTACGCATTCTCATTTGCTATT